AATATTAAAATACTAGTGGCCCAGTGCACGAAATTCATGCACGGGTAGGGTCCCTAGACAGCTGCTGGCCGCCGACCAGGGCCTTCCTACGTTCCGCACCGCCCCCTGGTGGTCAGCGCACGTCAAAGCGAGTGATCAAACTCCCGGTCAGTCGAACTCCCAAGGGGACACTTTGCATATTAGGCTTTTATATATATAGACAGCATACCCCGCTGCAACCGGAACCCCAGCAGGCTGGGTGTTCACCTGTCACGCCTCCTCCTGCAATGCCCTCCCCACTGCTTCCCTTTTGGCACCCCAAACCCGGCATCCCAACAAGGATGTGTGCCCAAGCTGCCATCTAGCTCTCTAATGCCAGCACCACCTACAGCTCTAGAAGAAGGAGAAGGGGGTGGGTAAGTAAGGAGGTCTCTGTACCACAACTCATACAAAGCAAACTGCCTGCAAATTGACTGTGGTAAAGCACCAAGGAAGCAACTGGCTGCAAAAGCCGCTTGCAAAAGAGTGTTCCCTCTGCTGGAGGGGTGAAGAAACCTCATTGCTACAGGCCTGCTACAATGGCACTCGGTGAAATGAGACATTATTAGGAGTCCACTGAACTTCTGATTCACAAAATTCCCTTCCAGGGTCTGGTGCGAGAATTAGCTCAGTACTTCAAATCAGATCTGTGCTTTCAGAGTGCAGTTATTGGCACCTTGAAGGAGGCAAGTGAGGCCTGTCTGGTTTTTGAAGACACCAACCTGTGTGCTATCCATACCAAACATGTAACAATTATGCCAAAAGACACCTAGCTAGCACTCCGCATTCATGAAGAAAGTGCTTAGGAATTCACTGTGATGGAAAATATTTCATTCTTTTTTTATGTTCTTTTTTTTTTTAATCCTCATCTGAGGACATGTTTATTGATTTTTAGATAGAGAGGAAGAGAGAGAGAGAGAGAGAGAGAGAGAGAGAGAGAGAGGAGAACATAGATGTGAGAGAGATATCCATCAGTTGCCTCCTTCATGAGCCCTGACGGGGACCAGGGATCGAACACACATCCCCTGTATGGGCCCTGATGGAAACAAACCTGCAACCTTTCATTGTACTGGGTGATGCTCCAACTAACTGAGCTACACTGCCCAGGGCTTTTGTGTTCTTTACTTTTTTTTTTTATTGATTTTTTACAGAGAGGAAGGGAGAGAGATAGAGAGTTAGAAACATCGATGAGAGAGAAACATCAATCAGCTGCCTCCTGCACATCTCCTACTGGGGATGTGCCCGCAACCCAGGTACATGCCCTTGACCGGAATTGAACCTGGGACCTTTCAGTCCGCAGGCCGACGCTCTATCCACTGAGCCAAACCGGTTTCGGCATGTTCTTTACTTTTTTAAAAAAAGTTTAATTTTTGTGTTGAGATAAATTATCTTCACTTATATCAGCTAACTTCATAAAAGAGAGGTTAGAAGGAAGAGTGTTTATACAATATTTATGATGAAATTATATATTTAGCATGAAATTATATAATCTGTGCTAAAAGTCTGTAGAGAGCACCTGGGAAGGCACATGGGCATTTCTTTAATTATTGTCAGCTGAATCCAGTGACTTTGGCAAAGCCACATCCTGGAAACACACTTTGCCAGAGGCAGGAGTGTTGTCAGCTTGACCTTCAGCCCAGGTGCCAGGGGGTGGGTTTTGTTATTTAAATCCAGCCAAGCACCAGGAATGAATATGACTCGGGCCCACCCAAGAATGCACATAATCTCCTCTGTCTTGACTTTTAGTAAAACTTCCTGTTTTTTTTTTTGCTGTAAAAATAAACACGCTGTATTGGCTCTGGGTCCCTGTCCCTGTCTCTCCATCAGAAGACAGTGTTCCCCAGCAGCCACATGAGCAGTCTGCCCCAGTTCAAGGAGTAGCAGCTGCGTGTGTAGCCCACCCCCATCCAAGGAACAGCAGCCTC